TTTTCTTGGGACCCCCCACCCAATAATTCTTAGCGCGGGCCCGGCCCTGACCCCGCCCCCGCCCCCCACCACGCCCCGGCATCTACACCCTCTGGAACCAACTTTTTTGGGGACCCCCCACCCGACAATCTCTAGCCCGGACCCGACCCTGACCCACACCCCGCCCCCCACCACTCCACGGCATCCTCGCCCTCTGGGACCACTCTTCTTGGGACCTGGCCGCCGCCCACCACGCCCTGGCATCGTCACCCTCTCCCTCTGGGACCACTGTTCTTGGGACTCCCCACTCGACAGTTTCTCGCACAGCCCGACCCTGACAGCATCCTCACTTTCTTGGACTACAGCCCTTCGGACGCCCACCCGACGATTCTTCGCCAGGACTCGACCCTGACTCCGCTCCCGCCCCCCGACACGCCCCGGCATCCTCACCGTCAAATTTCTCGCCCCGACCTGACCCTGACCCTGACCCCCACCACGCCCCAATCTCAACCCCCCACCCTGACCCCCACCGTGCCCCAGCATCTTCCCAACTTGGACTCCACCCGACAATTCCTGGCCTGGAATTCATCCCTACCCCCACCCTCGTCGTGCCCCAGCGTCTTCCCCGCCAAGAACCTCGTCCGCTCTTGGACCCCGCACCCGGCAGTTCCTGGCCTGGAACCCCGACCCCACACCTTGACCCTTCACCGTGCCCCGGCGTCTTCCCCGCCCAACCCCCCGATCTGTTTGCGGGCCCCCCCACCCGACAATTCCTGGCCTGGAACCGGCCCCGAACCCCCCACCCGACACCCAAGGTGCCCTGGCATCTTCCCCGCAAAGAGCCTCTGTCTTTGGGGCCCCCCAACCGAAAATTCTTCGCCCAAAACCGACCCCGACCCCCCACACGAGCCCGCACCGTGACCCCGACTGTACCTCGCCATCTTCCCGCCCAAAACCTCTGATTGTGGGGCCCGCCACCCTCCAGCCACCCACCGTGACCCGGCATCTTCCCCACCCAGAACGCTGTTTTTGACGTCCCCCGCCCGACAATGCCTGGCCTGGAACCGACCCCGACCTCCCACCTTGACCCCGACCCTGCCCCAGCATCTTCCCCGCCCTGGGGCTCACCGCCAGACACCAGAAAGACGTTCTGCCTTGGAACCGCCCCCGACCACCCACCCTGACCCCCACCGTGTTCGGGCATCTCCAGCCCAGCACCTCTGTTCTTGTGGCCCGCCACCCGACAATTCCTGGCCTGGAACCGAACCCGAACCCCCACCCTGACCCCCACTGTGCCCAGGCAGTGTCCCCTCGCAAAACCTCTGATCTTGAGCCCCCCGCCCGACAATTCCTGGCGTAGTCTTGGGCCCGCCACCCGACAACTCCTGGCGTGCAGCCAACCCCGATATCACACGGCCCACCGTGCCCCGGCATCCCCCCCGCCAAGAATATCTGTTACTGGAGCCCCCCACCCGACAATGCTTGGCCTGGAACCGACCCCGACCCCCCACCCTGACCCAACCGTGCCCCGGCATCTTCTCCGCCCAGAACCTCTCTTCTTGCGGCCCCCCAGCGGACAATTCCTGACCTCCTAACGGCCCCGCCCCCCCAATTCCTGGCCGAACCCGGCCTCCCACCCTGACCCCCACCGTGCCCAGGCATTTTCTCCGCGCAGAACCTCTGATCTTGGGACCCCGCACCCGACAAAATTCCTGGCCTGGAACCGACCCCCACCCCCCACCCTGATCCCCACCGTGCTCAGAACCTTTGTTCCCCCCTGGCCTGGAACCGACCCCGACCCCCCACCCTGATCCCCACCGTGCTCAGCACCTTTGTCCCCCCCCAAAACCTGACAATTCCTAGCCTAAAACCGACCCCGACCCTCTACCCTGACCCCCACCGCGCCGCCCCGGCATTTTCCCCGCCAAGAACCTTGGGGCCCTAGGCTCGCCACCGTGCCACGGCACTTCCCGCCCAGAACCTGTGTGTTTGGGGGGCCCCTCACCCAACAATTCCTGGTTCGGAACCGACCCCAAACTCCCACCCTGACCCCACCTTGCCCTCTGCATCTTCCCGGCCTAGAACCTCCGTTCTTGGAGCCCCCCACTCGACAAATCCTGGCCTGGATTCGACCCCGACCCGATCCTGACCCCCACCGTGCTCCAGCATCCTCCCCGTCCAGAACCTCTGTCCCTCGGGCCCGCCACACGGAAATTCCTGGCGTGGAACTGACCCCGACCCTCCACCCGGCATGCCCCCTAGTGCCCCGGCATCCTTCCCGCCAAGAACATCAGTTCTTGCGGCCCCCCACCCAACAATTCCTCGTTCGGAACCGACTCCGACCCCCTGCACCTTGACCCCCACCGTGCCCCGGCATCTTCTCCGCCTGGAACCTTTGCTTCTGGAGCCCAGTCTGCTCTTGGGGCCCCCAACCCGACAAATCCCCCGACTTGGAACCGACCCCCACTGCTCCGCCCACTACCTCTGTGTCGGTGACCCCACAATCGACAACTCCTGGCCTGGAGCTGATCCCGACCTCCCACCCAGACCCCTACCGTTTCTAGCACTTGCCCCGCCCAGAATCTCTCTTCTTGGGACTTCCCACCCGACAATTCCTGGCCTGGAACCGACCCCGAAACTCCACCCTGACCCCCACCGTGCCCCAGCATCCTCCCCGCCAAAAACACGTTTTTTGGCGCCCCCCCGACAGTTGCTGGCCTGGCACCTACCCGACCCGCCACCCGCCTGACCACCACCATGCCCCGGCATCTTCCCCGCCCATTCTTGGGCCCCCCCACCCCGCAATTCCTGGCCTGAAACCAATCCCGACCTCCCACCGTGACCGTGCCCTGGCATCCTCCCGTCCGATGTGGGGAAAAACATGTGTTTCTGGGTCGCCCCACCAGACAATTTCTCTATTGGAAACAACCCCGACCCCACACCCTGACCCCCACTGTGCCCCAGCATCTCCTCCACACAGTACCTCTGTTCTTGGGACCCCGCACCCGAGAATTCCCGGCCTGGAATCGACCCCGACCCCCCTCCTGCCCCCCACCGTGCCATCGATCTTCCTTACCACGAATCTCTGCCCTTGACCCCCCCCACACACACACACACACGACAATTCCTGGCCTGGAACCGACCCCGCCCCCCTAATCTGAAGCCCGTGCCCCAGCATCTTCCCCGCCCAGAACCACTGTTTCTGGTGCCACCCAGCCGACAACTCCTGGTTCGAAACCGACCCCGACCCTCCCCCCCTGACCGTCAACCCTGACCCCCCCGTGCCCCAGCATTGTCCCCGCCCAGGAATATTTGTTCTTGGGGCCCGCCGCGCGACAATTCCTGGCAGGGGGTCCCCCACCCGACAATTTTTTGACTGGAACCGACCCGGACCTCCCACCGTGACCCCCGTGACCCGGCATCTTCTCCGCCTGGAACCTCTCTTCTCACGGCCCCCCCAGCGGACAATTCCTGACGCGTAACGACCCCGACCCCCAATTCCTGGTCTAACCCGACCTCCCACCCTGACCCCCGCCGTGCCCCGGCATTTTCACCGCGGAGCTCCCCGCCGCACACGTCCTGCCTTGGAACCGCCCCCGGCCCCCCACCCTGACCCCCACTGTGCCGCGGCTTCTGCCCCGCCCCTGTACCTCTGCTCGTGCGGCCCCCCACCTGGCACTTCGTGGCCTGGATCCAAGCCCGGCCCCCGCCCGGCCTCCACCGTGCCCCGACACCTTTCCCGCCCAGAACCTCTGTTGGGCCCCGCACCTGACAACTCCTGACCTGGAACCGACCCCGACCCCCACCCTGACCCCCCCCCCAGCATTTCCCCGTGCAGAAACTCTGCTCTTGGCCCAAACCCGACAGCTCCTGTTTTGGAGCCCACCCCGACCCCCCACCCTGACACCCCCAACGTGCACCTGCATCCTCCACGCCCAGGACCACTGTTTCTGACCCTCACCAATTTCTAGCATGGAAACGACCCCGACCTCCCACCCTGACCCCCACCATGGCTGGGCATCTTCCCCGCGCAGAACCTCTGATGGGAGCGGCCAAGAGGGGGTGTCCAAGAGAGGGGGGTGCAAATCATGACCGGCGGCAAGTGCGCGGCCCAGCGGGGGGGCCAGGGACGTAATGAAGTAAGAAGAGGCGCCATGAAATCTGGGGATATATCATGGCCCCCGCCATGATATCCCCCCCCATAGTCATAACCCCCTGTTTGCCGCCCCCGACTTAACCGAGCCCGGCCCCCCACCCCGGCCCTGGGATCCCCACCGTGCCACGGTGCCTTCCTCGCTCGGACCCTCGAACACGCGTGCACCTTGCGAGTGCGGAGACGCGCACGGAAGAACTGGCCGCGCTTCTTGGAGCGCCTTGAAGCGACTCCAAGATGATGCTGGCTCGGCGTCCCCTCCGGAGCCGACTTTTTGAGGACGTCTCGAGCGAAACGGCCATGTGCCCGAGATGCGCCAGCGGGCTGCCCGGTGCAAGCCGCACCCCTTGGTTAGAGAACAGACTGCCAAAAAATCAGCGGTGCACGCCGGAGACGCTTTCCGTCATCCGTCGCTGTGCCACCTCGCAAGTTGAGCCGTGGTAGAATGCAAAACCCTGTCTGGGAAGGTTTCTGTAACACTCTGAAGGATCCCGCCCGTCCTCCCCCTCGACCGAAACAAATGATGACGACGAGTGACGACGCACCCCCTAATAAGCAGGGCCCCCACCGAGACGGCCCAAGACGGTCCCAAGTTAAGAATTCTCTAGTTCGCGCGCGCGGGGCGGCCCCTGGGGGTCCCCGGACGAAAAGTACCCCGGCAAGGTCCTGAGAGAGTCCCGGGAGGAGTCCCCCAGAGCGCTCCAGGAGCGCTCCATGAGCGCACCAACAGGGCTCCGAGACGTCCCCGAGAGCCCCAAGAAAGGCCAAGAGGCCCCCAAGAGGCCCCCAAGATGGTACACGAGGGGTCCGACATGCCACAAGATCGCTCCAAGACGCCCAAGATAGCCCCCAGACGCCCCAAGAGGCCTCCCAGAGCACTCCCAAGAGGGCCCCCGGAGGCAAAATTCATTGTTTTTCCTTAGGTTTTTGAAAGATTTTGGAGCTTCCACCTTTTCGGTTCCCGACGCCCCAAGACGGCCCCAGAGGCCCCCAAGATCGCCCCAAGAGGGCCCAAGAGGCCCCCAAGAGGGCCCCAAGATGGCCCAAGAGGGCTCGAAGACGGCCCAAGAAGCCTCCAAGACGGTCCAAGAGGGCCCCAAGAACACCCCCAAAGGGGCCCCAGAGAGGGAACACGACACAAAATTTCGCGCCCTCCGCCCTAAGAAGCCCCTACGAGGCCCCAAGAGGCCCCTAAGAGGCCCCAAGAGGCCCCCACGAGGCCCTCAGGAGGCCCCCAAGAGTCCCCCAAGCGGCCCCAGGAGGCCCCCCAAATGCCCCCCCGAGCGCCCAGGAGTCCCCCAAGCGGCCCCAGGAACCCCCAAAGCGCCGCATTGACACCAGGCCCTCGGGCAAACGGCAGACATGAGACCGCATGGGCCGGCGGAATGAGCGAAGCGATTCAATAAGCAGGGCCCCCACCGAGACGGCCCAAGACGGTCCCAAGAGAGCCCCAAGCTGGCCCACAAAGAACCCCAGAAGGATCCAAGAAACCTCCGAAGAGCTCTTCGATGGCACAAGACAGCCCCACGACACCTCCCAGACGGCCAAGGAAGCCGTGAGAAACCATCAGAGACTTTCAGACGCTCTCAACAGCTTTGAAAGACCTCCAGTAGCTATCAGAAGCCAATGCGCCCGAACGCTGGCTGCCCGCCAACTCAGACCTGGCTGACCGCCAAGATGGCCGAAGATGCCTTCATGACGACCTCACATGATACCAGATTGGCCCGAGATGGCTTCGCGACTACCCACACAGCCTCCACGACGGCCCAAGAAGAGTTCCAAAAGGCCGCCTGCATCGCACATCCTCACGTTTCCAAGCTTCCGGAAGCTCCAGACAACCCCGGGCGCCTCCAACCACAAGCCAACGCCGGACGACATCCAATCGGCCGCCCAGAAAAGGCCCCGAAGATCTTCTGGGGTCGGCGGCAGAGGCGGCAGCCTTTACAGTTGCTTTTGCTTGGTACGACCTCTGTGTTTTTTCTAATGCAGCCTCCCCCAGGAACAAGCGCTGACCGAAAAGTAGTCACTGTTGCTCCCTGGCGCATGTTCGGTCTCTTGGCGACCCTGAGACAACGCTTGACCGCCAAAAACGACTGCAAGACGCCTCAACACCATACAAGGATGGCAGAAAGAGACCCAAAGGCCTGAACGATCTCCCGAAGGTGCCTGACAAGGCCACAAATGTTCCAAGAGATGAGAGAGGCCTCAGTCGAGGCCAACATATGCAATGGACACTGAACAGTAACAGTGATTGGTGTAAGTGCGACATATATGTATCATACGGTGCCATATGTTTGTGTGCATATGTGTAATCACATGCGCATGTTAGCCAGCATGGGGCCCCAAACAGTGAACTTCTAGTGTGGTGTGCCATCTCTGTTGTGCAATATGTGGTGCTACATGTGTGGCAGGGTGTGTGCAATCCATGTGGGGCAATATAGGCGATGTGGTGCAATGTATGTGGTGCGATCTACGTTGTGCAATCTCAAGTGTGCAAACCATGCTATGCAACATAGATTGTTCAATCTCTGCCGTGTGTTCCATGTGGCGTAATCTACGTGGTCAAGATATGCTGCGCAAACAGAGCTGTGCAGTCTAGATGGGGCAATATACGGTGCGCAAACTAAAAGTGGTGCAACCTATGCTGTGCAGTATGTTCAGTTCTTTAGATATATATATATATATATATATGTATGTATGTATGTGTATATATATGTATGCGTGTATATATATATAAAATATCTATATATTGTGCAATGTAGGTGGTGCAGTCTACGTGATGCAACCAATGTGGTGCAATCGACGTGCTGAAACACATGGTGTGCAAGCTATGTGGAGGAATATATGTGGTCTATGTGGTGCAATGGACAGTGTGCAAGATTTGTTGTGCAGTCTGTGTTGTGCAATCTCTGTGGTGCAACCCATGTAGTACACAATATCGATGTGGAACATTACATGTGGTGCAATATCTGTTGCGCACTTTATTGTTTGCAATATAGGTGGTGCAATGTATGCGGTGCAACCTTTGTTGTGGCGACGTGGCGGCGACGGCGGCAACAAGGCGAAGGCCCCGACAAACGAGCCCAGGCGACAGGAGGCGACGAGGCGGCGACGAGGCGGCGACGGCGGCAACGAGGCGGCGGACCCGACAACCGAGCACAGACGACGGACGACAACAGAGCGGCGACGGGGCGACGACGGCGGCAACAAGGCGGCGGACCCGACAACCGAGCCCAGACGACGGGCGGCGACGGCGCGACGACTGGGCGGCGACGAGGCGGCGACGTGGCGGCGACGGCGGCGACAAGGCGGCAGAACCGACAACCGAGCCTAGACAACGAGTGGCGACGAGGCGGCGACGGGGGCGGCGACGGCGGCAACAAGGCGGCGGATCCGACTAACAAGCCTAGACGACAGGCGGCGACGAGGCGGCGACGAAGCGGCGACGGTGGCAACAAGGCGGCGGACCCGACAAACGAGCCCAGTTCTTAAGAAAACACATAAATGGAAACACTGTCTGGGGACTATCAGAGCGAGGAGGGGCCAACGGTCTAACACCATCCCCGGGCGTAAGAATTGTCTTGCTATTGCTTGTTGCTGTTTTTATTATTTGTTGACCTCCCGCTTCTGCAAAATAATGACTGTTGATCTCCTTCTGGTGCCCATAGCGTTTTTGAATTCAAGTGCCCCCCCCAGGGCTCGCACCCTGTTTGCTAATCAAGAGAAGTCTTGAGCCTCAGACTTTGTCGTTGTCCCCTGGTTTACAACAACAGCGGCTCCCGTCGCAAACCTCTTCACATGTTATGCAAAATCGCTTTTTCGCGCCGGACTTCCTGACAGTTAACGCAGGAATTGCGCTCTCGCTCAAGACATCCTTCGACGCCCAGGAATCGCGCTCTTGCACGACACCTCCTCACAATGTACTCAAGACTCGTGCTCTCGCCTGAAGCTTCGTCGCAATAGCACACATCGCTTCAATGCCCCTCCCGCCCGACTCGCCCGTTAGGGCCACCCCGCCAGATCAGCTCGTCAGAGCCCCGCACCCCGACACGCCCCTTAGGGTCCGCCCGTTCGGCTGCTTGAAGCCCGCCCGCCCGTTTCGATGTCCCGCCCCACGTGCTCACCGCCCGACCCGCCAGGGTCCGCCCGCCCGACCCGCCCGTTAGGATCCGCCCGCCCAACCTGCCCGTCAGGGCCTGCCCATCTGCGTGCCTGGAAGACCTCCCGCCCGCTCGAGTGCTCCGCTCGCCCGACCCGCCCGTGAGGGACCGCCCACCCGACCCACAACGTGAGGCCGGCCCGCCCGACCGGACCGTGAAGGCCCGCTTGCCAAAATCATGGTCTCCCTCTGCTTCCCTCCTGCGAACTCTCCTGTTCGCCCTCCATTCTGGACGCCCGAAATGGGTTCGGAACAATGGGTACAGTGCCCAGCAACCAATGCGGTGCAAAAGCGATCACGGCCGCTGTTGGGCAGGCGGTTTTTTGTCTTCAGTGAACAACGTCCGCGGCGACGCGGACAGCGAGTCCTGTTCAAAATGACCAGGAACTGCTCTTGGGCATCGCACGCATTATTTCCGTACCCATTTCGATCGTCCCGATCAATCCCCCTCACTCCCCTGCAGGCCCCGACACCCCCCGACCCTCAACGGGCTCCCAGCATGCCCCCAGGAGACCCAAACCCTCGAGTCTGCTCTCCAAGTCTGCGGCGGAGGAAGGAGGGGGAGGAGGAAGAGGGAGAACGATGCTACAGACAAGGACGAGTTGTTCAAGACCCGCGCCGGCTCAAATAGGGCTTGAACTGGAGCGGGTGTGTCAAACCCAACCTTCTCGCTGCTGCCGCAATGCGCCAGCAAGGCTGCGGGGATTGCCGCAGGCAACTGGATATGCTGCTCGAGACTGCACTCGTATTCGTCAAAGTGCAGGAACCCTTTGTTGGTATTCAAATCGAAGAAGGCTTGCTTCAGCGGCACAACTAGTGGGTGCCTCAGTTTCATGTGTCGCAAGATCTCTTTGATGAAGCTCTCCAGCCCCTTTCTCTCGTGAAGGCTGAAGGCCTTAAGCACGCAACGAACTCCCTCGTATGAGGTTGCATACACCTCGTGTCGCCGATTGGCCAGAACGCGCATACTAGACAGCTCCTGGTCGTAGTGGCTGATGTCTCGCTGGTCGTCCAGCACGGTCTGAACCTCACTCTGCTGGGGCAGCTCGAGCTTCCTGAGCTCCGCCCTGAGGTATTTCTCCGCCTGGTCGGCGATGTGAATCAGGACTTCGGGGGCCTGCTCAGCGAGCTTCCACAACCGCGCCACACACTTATTGTATGCCGCCCCATCCTCGCGCACCTGCCGCTTCGCCACCCGTAGCTCTTCTTGGCATCGCCTCACCTCGTCCTCGTCTGGCTTTCCGTCCTCGTTGTCCTCCGCGTTCTCCAGCTGGTAGTTGGCACTGCGCAGAGTCTTCCTCGCTCTGCAAGCAGCCCTCTTCCGCTCTTCCAGATCCCGCAGCTCCTCGCCTATATTTGCGCGCACGGCGCTGTCAAGCACCTTCGCGCGCTCCAGCGCCGTCGCCAGGAACTCCTGCCGCGGCGCGCCCCCGCGCCACCCGTGCGATCTGCGCGTCGCGTGCGCGGTCTCGTCGATGGACCGCTTCAGCTCTGCCAGGGCGTCCTGGCGAGCCTCGTCGCGCTTCCGCAGCAGGTCCGGGACCACGCCCTCGCCAGGAGGGTCCTCCCGCAACGCGTGTACCGCCGCCTCCCTCACGTTCGCCAGGGCAGCCTCCAGCGCCTTCCAGGCCCATTCCGCGTAGTGGCGTTGCTTGTCCGACTCCCACCAGTAGTCACTGAGCCTCTCCAGGCGGCTGTCCTAGAGGAAAAGCAAGAACGCCAGAAAGGTACAAACGGCGCGGATGTATTGGATCTGCGCTCTCCCTGGCGCGCGGGGCGAAACCCAGGGGCAGCGCTGGAGGCGCCGCCAGGGGGGGCCCACGCCGATCCAAGAAATCCCCGCGGAGCTCCGAACGCTTATGGTTGTGCAATTGTTTCGCCTTTGATGTCCGCACCCTTCAGCATGGCGACCAGCTCTCGCTCGACGCCCTGGAAGGAGCACCTGACCTTGACCTCGCCGTCCTCCCGCAACTCCACCAGCGTCGCCCAGCCGCTGTCGACGGGAGCACGCAGCGAGGTGACGGGCCCCTCGGCGTCCTCCTCCTCCACGATGACGGGATCGCCAATCCGCCGACCTCCGCTTATCGGGCACCGGCTACCACGGACCAGAGCGTGGATCTGGCGCGTGGGCGCCAGACCCGCGGATCGAGGCGAGCACCCCCGAGACATGGCGCCACCTCCGCCTGTTTTGGCGAAGGACCGCGCCGATCTCCTTAGGAACGGGGCCCGTCGCCGATCCGTTCGCTCGGATCTCTGCGTTCCTTTCCTCGGGCATGCTGAGGTGACAAGTCGTGCGAGAACTTTGGCTGTCCACCTCCCACGGGCACCCTCCCAGGGTTCCCAAACCTGCTTGTCGAAGGGATACGCCACGAATCTCTCTATACATATATATATGTATATATATATATATATATGAAAATACACACGCACACATACGCCCTCCGACAAACTTTGCATGTACCTGCAGGGAGGGTGGCAGTGTATGAAATCGTTGGCTCTTACAGGTGATTTATACACCGCCACATTCCCATGAGGCCCAGGAACAATCCGCTGGGAGGTGTCAGTGCCTATGGTTCCGTGGCGGAGGGAAGTCTGCGCGTTCCTAAACGCCTCTCCCAGGCCCTCAGAGCCTCGAAACCTACCCTCCCACGCTTCCAAGGTGTCTCGAATACGCAGCAAGATGGCTCAATCATGCTCCACGACGGCCAAGGAGCCTCGGTAAAAGTTCAAGCGGCTCAAAGAATCCCCAAGGAACCCCAAAGAGGACAAACGGGGGAGCCTAGTCACCCACCATCATCAAAATCATTCAGCGCTGTACTTAATTATGCTAAGATCCCTCGGCTGGCCCTCCAAAAGATTCCCAACCTGGCTCCGAGATGAGCCCAATACTTGCCGACACGGCACAAATACACTCCAAAACGACCACAAGATCCCCGCAGGGGGGACACCAGAGGAACCCCAGAGGGCCCCTCGAAAAGCACCTGGCCCCAGAAGGATCACAAGACAAGCCCAAGTGCTCGATCGCTCTTTTAAAACCAGAGGGCGCAAGGCTGCAAGAGGCGGTCAGGCGCCGGTCGAGCTAGAGGCGAGGCGCGCCGAAGCAGACTGGGGTACGGAAGAAGAGGAAGAGCCGGACCAAGCGAGAAGAAGAAAGAGCCGCTCAGATCGTGCAGACCATCGCGGAGTGCCGCCGAGAGAAGGTGCGAGCTGAACTCGATCGAACACTTGTCCAGGGCGTTGCACCCCCCCAACACTACCCAGAAGGGAGGGTCTGCGCACTGGCTCTTCCAGGGGGGCACGCCGCGGCTCCCGCGCTGTGGGCTCACGTGAACTGCTCCCCTGCCGCTCTGACAGCGCCCAAAACTGGGTGACGAGTTAGGCCGTTCGAGGCTCAGACCTTCAATGGTAAGCAAGAAAATGCCCCTAATCCTGTGGGAGGGGGCCTAAGTTAGGAAGGCCAAAAACAGGAGTGGGTTTTTGATTGCAAATATACCCAACGAAAACACCCACATGTTTATGCATATTCCTAAGGCCTGTGGACCTGAGCTTGGCCTCGTAATCATAGCTTATCAGGGATAGTGGCTGTATCATGCTTAATGCTTCAACGCCAGTGTACCCCGCGCACCACTGTTTGTCCATCTGCGCTGCACGCGGCCGGGGCAACACGTGCAGCCCAAATCACACTCGCCGGGTCCTCCCGCCTGGGGCCAGCGGAAAAGGCGCAGGCCTGGTGCACGAGGACGCAGGCCTGGCCCCTGTCAAGCACTCTACGTGTGACGCTGTCCAGGTCGATGCTGGCCTGGACCTCGACTCTCGAGGTGGCCCAGAGCCGCTCCAGCACCGAGGGCGGCCGCGGGCCCGACGTAACTGCGGGCGCCCGCGCACAGCGCGCGTCAGCGGCCCCAGCAGGGCCGCGATGCTGAGTGCACCGGTCGCCGTGCTTCGGCCTCCTGTAGCCGTTCGCGTGCCACTGCCTGCACTTGCCACAGCAGTAGCCTCCGAACTCCGGCTCCTCGTGCGCCGGCAGGTAGCACGCCGGATTGGCACAGACCGCGCCACCAGGGAGGCACGGAGGAGGCGGGGGAGGTGCGACACCATCAGGGTAGGCGCAGATTGCCTGGGGACGAGGGGGCGGAGGGGGAGCGCCGCCGCCAGAGAGGTAGCTGGCTGGAGGTGGTCCTGCAGGACAGACCGCCACGACGGGCTCATCCAGCAGCAGCGCCAGCTTCGGGCCAACCTGGATCCCCTTTCTGCGTCTGTTCTCTTTGCACCTGCTATTCTTCAGGTGGCTGGGCTCGGTGAGGTTCCCGTGCACGTAATTCCCGCACTCAAGGCAAAACGGGCAGAAGCCGCTGGCCGGGTCATACCTCATCTCCAGCCACGGGTTCTCGTCACATGCTTCTGCTCGGGGGACGCCAACTGACCCTCTCACCGATCCTGCCGAGGGCCCATCATCATCCTGGGCCCCAGATCGGTGCCCAAGCCCTCCTGGCTCGGCCAGGGAGACGCAGAAACCAGTCCTGGGCACAGCTGGGCCCCCTGCCGGGCTCGGTGACGCGGCCAGCTGACGCCGCCCGATCTGCCCACTGCCTCGTCCAAGTGTCCCCGCCTTCCGGGTGGCCACGAAGCTTGGCCACGTTGGCACCCGAGCCGGCCGGCTGCCCCGCCAGCGGCGGGTGCGGCGGCGGCGGCGGGGCCGCCCGCCGCGGCGGCGCGGCCGCCTCCGCGGGCCCCAGGCTGTGCCCGGGGGCACCGCCCGCGCCGCCAGGCCGTCGCTGCGGCCAGCCCTCGCCCGCCGGCGGGCGGGCGAGGGCTGCCGAGAGTGCCTCCGCTGGCGAGGCGGCGGCCCACGGGTTGCCCTCCCCGCTCCCCACGGCGTCGCTGCCTCGCCGCCCTCCCGCACCCTCGCCTCCCCCCGCGGCTCCTCGCGCGCAGCGGCCTCCCCCCGTGGCTCCTCACATGGCACTCTCGCCGCCCGCCCCGCGGAGCCCCTCGTGTGCAGCGGCCCCGCCCCCCCGAGCGGGGGGCTGCGCGGCCACGGCGCCGAGGCCGGTGGCGCTGCCGCGGCGGGGGCCTGGGGCGGCCAGCCCTCGGGCGGGGCGCTGGCGCTGGGAGGCGGCGCGGGGGTGCCGCCCGCGGCCGCGGGGGGCCCCGCGCAGCTGCGCGGCTCGGCCAGCCAGGGCGCCGGGCGCGGCCAGGGCGTCGGGCGCGGCCAGGGCTCGGCCCCTGGCCATGGCTCCCTCCAGGCAGCCGAGGCCTCGCTCCAGGCGGGCGGGCGCTGGCCGCCCGAGGGCCACTGGTGCTGGGAGGCGCCCGAGGGCCACCCCTGCCACGCATCTCGCCAGCCGCTAGCGTCGTCCCGCCACGCGGCACTGCTCCAGGCGTCCTGCCAGCCCTGCCACTCCATCCTGCGGGACAGCAAGGGGCTCCGAGGCAGCTTGAGCCGAGAGGCTCCAGACACGCAGGAAGCAGCAGGCGGAGCTCGTCGTGACGCGCACCGCCACTTGCCACTGCTGCGTGCGAGAATTGTAGCGGAAGTGTCGCAGAGCCGCCAGGTTTGAGCTGTGCGCCACGCCGCCCTTCCTCTTCATTGTCCTCCTCCTCCTCCTCCTCCTCCTCCTTGTCCTCCCCCCCCTCCTCCTCCTCCTCCTCCTCCTCCTCCTGCTTCTCCGCCTCCTCATTCACATCCACCTCGCCGCCAATAGGACAAAATAGGCGGAATGTGTCGCAACGCCAAGGCTGGGGCGTGCGTAAGGCAGCTGTTCCTCTTCCTCGTCCCCCTGGCCATCGAGGAAGGACCGACGGCCAGAAAACCGCCCAGAGGACGTGGTCGACAGATGTGCAAAGTCGCGGCGTCGAAGGTCTCTGGGCCGAAGGAAAGGGAAGCCCTGACAGCCAGGCGTCGAAAAAAAACACAACGGCTGGCAGGTTCCGTGCAATTTCGAGCTTTGCTGCTCTCACAAGTGGGCGACGATCAGAAACGGGTCCTACGCAAGATGGCACAGAGACCTTACGCGGTGACTTACACGGGCCGCCAGCGCGGCACGCTACGTCGGAGACGAGGGCGCTTACGCGCAACCTTACGCGGGGAGCTTACGCGCCAATGTCGGCGCAGACGGCCCCACACTTATCCGTCGCTCAAATGTGGCACAATGGGAAGGGCAGAACAGACCTAGCCCCTAGTGCTCACGCGACGGAAGACTTGACGAGGGCGGCGACTGGAACGCTGGGGCCTGGCTGCAAGATCGAGAGGGGCACAATAATCGAGTACAAGAGATGCGCGAAGACGCGGCCACAGCGGAGAAAACACCTGCAGAGGCCGCCGCAGCCACAGCAGCGATGGCGGCGACAGCGGCAAAGGCCACCCTGAGGGGGCACAGGCGGCAGCAAAACATGGGCCGTCGTCCTTGAGGGTCACCACGCGCTCGACGCACTCGAAAACCTCGCTAGCCTCGTCGGGGTGCTCCTGCGCGCCCCACCCGCACAATTCTACAAATCCTGAGTCAAGGCCGTGTCCGCGATCAGCGTTGTTGTAGTTGTGGCCGTGTCTCGAATCGAGATACGTAAGCACCCCGTGGGCTTGTCCCGCTTGGGAACACATGTGTCCGCCAAGCTGGCAAGCAACAGTTCGCATGATGACTGCAACAACCACACCAGACGTCAACCAACCTTCACCAACCACAGCTTGACGACGTCTAGATGGCGTCTTCACATGCCCCGTAGTGCACAACAATGGGCTTCAACTGCCAGGAACATGGTGCGACATTGTGTGTATGCACGGTACTGGTTTACAGACATTGAGTGCGTGTGTGTGTGAGGTGTGAGACGGTGCGTATATGCACACATATATAAACCCTCGCGATCATGCATGTGATATGTGGCATTGGTGCCATACGTGGTATATATAAATATGTGTATATATATATATGCACCGACATATGTATATACATCTGTATATACATACATACATGTGTAAACATAAGAAGCAGAAACACACATGTTCGTGCGCCATCAAGAGGGTCGGCCGAAACAAAGACAAAGTCGACAGTCGACATGGCCAGTGCTATGTCGTCAAATTCGGACTGCGCGTGCGTGTGTGTGTGTGGGGGGGAAGGGGGTGCTGCTCTCGTGACCGAGACGCCATTCTGCTGGATGAGGGTCAAACTGTGAGTGCGTGCGTGCGTGCGTGCGTGCGTGTGCGCGCGCCTGTGTGTGTGTGCGTGTGCGTGTGCGTGTGCGTGTGCGCGTGCGCGTGCGCGTGCGCATGCGCGTGCGCGTGCGCGTGCGCGTGCGCGTGCGCGTGCGCGTGCGCGTGCGCGTGCGCGTGCGCGTGCGCGTGCGCGTGCGTGTGCGTGTGCGTGTGCGTGTGCGTGTGTGCGTGTGCGTGTGCGTGTGCGTGTGCGTGTGCTGTGTGCGTGGTGCGTGTGCATGGTGTGCATGTGTGCGTGTGCGTGTGCGTGTGGTGTGTGTGGCTGGGGTGCGTGTGCGTGTGCGTGTGGTGTGCGTGTGCGTGGTGTGGGGTGGTGATGGGGGTGGTGATGTGGCGTGTGCGTGTGCGTGTGCGTGTGTGCGTGTGCGTGTGCGTGTGCGTGTGCGTGTGCGTGTGCGTGTGCGTGTGCGTGCGGTGCGCGTGCGCGTGTGTGCGCGTGCGCGTGTAAGTGTGAGTTGTGCGTGTGCGTGTCGTGTGTGTGTGTGTGTGTGTGTGTGGGTGGGTGGGTGTGGTGGGGGTGTGTGGGGTGTGTGTGTGTGTGCGTGTGCGTATGGGGGTGCGTGTGCGTGTGCGTGTGCGTGTGCGTGTGGGGGTGCGTGTGCGTGTGCGTGTGCGAGTGCGTGTGCGTGTGCGCGTGCGTGTGCGTGTGCGTGTGCGTGTGCGTGTCCGTGTGCATGTGCGTGTGGGGGGGGGGAATGGGGGGGGCTGTATGCGTGTGTGTGTGTATGTGTGTGTGCGTGTGCGTGTGCGTGTGTGTGTGTGCGTGTGCGGGTGGGGGTGGGGGTAGGGGTGGGGTGTGTGTGTGTGTGCGTGTGCGTGTGCGTGTGCGTGTGCGTGTGTGTGTGAGTGGGTGTGTATGTGTGTGTTTGTGAAATTCGACATTGTGTGCAATTCACTCGCTGCACGCCCGTTTACGGCCTCCCGCCCGCCCTCCCTTCACAACGTTGAGCAGTAAGTGTCTTGCTTGTATGTGGCCCGCGCAGGACTTCGCCACGGTGCCGACACCTCGCCGTAAGAGGAAAAACATGTTCGTGCGTGCCCTTGGCCAGCTTCCAAACATTACGTAGGTTGACTGGTAACATGTCCAAGTTTGTGTGATGCGACCACGTACTACAGTTACACACAGCATCTCAAGTACAGCGCAGGCTTGACTTCTTTGGCCACCATGCAAGATTCTTTACATTGGGGTTGCACTGCTTTCTCCTTCGTCGAGCTTTCATCGATGCGATCTGTGAACACACGAACCCCGTTACCTTTCGTGGGAGACTCGAAGATCGACGGTAATTGCTCCAAGCTATTGTCGGTCGTTCCTCTGAAAGTGACTACCAATGGCATTTTCCAATTCGGCTGTCATCGATTACATTCAATTTCCGGCGGCGGCTGCCTTGCAAACGAAACGGAGTACAAACTGGCATCGAAAGCGTTTTCTTAATTTCCCCCCCGTAACGTCCGTGACGTGGGGGGGTCCGGCCGCCGTCGGGGTAACGTGGCGGGCTCGGGCATGGTACCAGTAATGATGATGGTGGTAGCAGTACCAGCAGTAGTAGGAGCACAAGCAAAGGCCACGAAGACGACGAGGACGACAAGGACCACCAGCGGCGACAATAACGACAACGACAGCAGCAACGAAGACGCCGACAACGACGACGACGACAACAGGCCAGGACGGCGACGACGACGACGACCAGCGGCGGCGGTGACGACGACGACGACGACGACGACGACCAGCGGCGACGACGACGACGACGACGACCGGCGGTGACGACGACGGCTGGCGGCGACGACGAATGACTAGTAGCAGTAAAAACAGAAGCGATGTATAGTGATACTAGCACAAGATGTAGTCGCAAAACTATTGTGCATCGTTGCAGTACTAGTAGCACTAGCAGTACCCCTACAACTATAGCGTCATATAGAACACGATTGCTACTACCAATACTACAGCTAGGACTACAACCACTACTCCGACGACTCGTGCTTCTACTTCATCACAACCGCC